TTGTCGGGGTTGGCTTCAATCCCTTGTTCTGTTAGATAGAATCCTAGGAATTTTCCTGCCTTAACCCCGAACGTGCACTTCTCGGGGTTGAACCTCATTTTGCACTGTCTTGCTTGGGCGAAGACTGTCTTGAGATGAGCTGCGTGATCGGTGTCTGCTCGGGATTTGACGATCATGTCGTCCATATATACCTCGAGCATGTCGCCAATCTGTTTGTTAAACACTTTGTTCATCATGCGTTGGTAAGTTGCACCGGCGTTCTTCAGTCCGAAGGGCATTACGTTGTAGTAATAGTTGCCCGAGCTGGTCATGAACGCCGTGCAGCGTTTGTCGCCCAGAGCCATTGGGATTTGATTATATCCCGAGTAGGCGTCCATGAACGACAAAGTCTTGTAGCCAGCCGAGTTGTCGACCAGCATGTCTATGTTAGGTAGAGGAAAAGCATCCTTCGGGCAAGCCCGGTTGAGGTCGGTATAGTCAACACACATTCTCCATTTTCCATTATTCTTTTTAACAAGTACAACATTTGACAGCCAGGTGGAGTACCGGGCTTCAGAAATAAAATTTGCCTCTAGGAGGTCTTTTACAGCTTTTTCAGCAGCCTCCGTTTTTTCTGGAGACTGCCTACGCCAACGTTGTACTACGGCCTTGGCGGCTGGATCAATGGCGAGGTGATGACAGGCGACCTCAGGGTCGAGTCCGGGCATCTCTGCAGCGCTCCAGGCGAAGAGATCAGCATTCTCGCGCAGACAGGCCTTGATTTGCTTCCTGGCCAAGTCGGGGAGGTCTTTGCCAATCTTCACTCCCTTGGTCGGGTCTGCTCCGAGGGGAACGAGTTCAAAATCACCGTCTGGAATAGGTCGGAGTGGGATTTGCTCGCTGCTGGATGGCTCGTCCTGGTCGAAGCGAGCGTCGAGGGCTATGGAGTCGACCTTTGGTGGAGCCTTCTGGACTTCTTCCTTGGGGGATGCTTTTCTGTCGGGCTCCTGCTTTGTCCTCTTGGTGGGTCTGGTCCCCACGTCGACGGTATCCCGTCCCTTTGAAGCGGCGTTGAAGCACCTGCGGGCAGCGGCGAGGTCTCCTTGGATGGTGGCTACCCGTGCCCTTTTGGTATAGAACTTCATTTTCAGATGGATAGTCGAGGGCACCGCTGTCAGCTCCGCCAATGTCGGTCTCCCCAAGATGCAATTGTATAGAGACGGGCAATCAATGACGAGGAAGCGGACCTTAACCTGTCTTGTAGTCGTTCCTTCTCCGAACGTCACCAGGAGCTCGACATAACCCCAAGGTTTGGAAGTCGAGCCGTTGAAGCCTTGAAGATCCGAACCCACATACGGAGAGAGATGTGAGTCGTCCAGTTGCAAGGTCCGGAACAGCTGGCTGTACATCACGTCGACGGAACTCCCTTCGTCGACCAGGATGCGATGCACATCAAAATTGGCCATTTTTGCCCTTATCAGCAAGGGGATGACCGCGTTCGGGGCTCCGCCGGGGAGTTCTTCCAGGTAGAAGGTGATGGGCTCTGACCTGCCCTTCACCCTCTCGAACGTCACAGTTTGAGGAGGAGCTATGTCGACCAGTTCGTCCAACTTCCTCTTGGCTGAATTGATGGTGAGGTCGTTGAACCCGCCCCCGTTGATGACCATGGCGGAGGGGAAGTATTCTCACCTGCTGTGTGTTGTCAGGGGCTCCTGCAGGAGCTCGGGAACGTCGAAGTCCTCGGGCCTGGTTACCGAGAAGGCGGTCTGGATTGGTACCGACTCGTCTGATGGTCGGGCATCTTCTTCGGGCTCCTTGGCTTCATGGGCCTCACGACGGGGAGCGTCGTTTCGCCTGTACTATGCGAGCCTCCCTCCCTTGATGAGGGTTTCAATGGCGTCCTTGAGGTGGACGCAGTCCTCTGTCAGATGACCATGACTCCTATGGTATTGACAGTATTTATTTTTGTCTGCCCCTGGCTTGGCGGGAGCAGGTCGGGGACGCTTGACGCCACCGTCTCTGAAATCTGTACTAGCACACTCCGCCAAAATACGCTCGCGGGAAGCCGTGAGCGGAGTGTACTCGGTGAAACGGCCCGAGGGGCCCCGTTGTTCCCGGACCTCCCGGGGTCGATCTTCCTTCCTTTTCTCCCCGGTACGTCAGGGAGGAGGGTCTTGTCGTGAGCTGCTGCTGTTGTTGGGAGCGCGAGCCCTGGAGTCTCGGGCCCTGTTGGCAGCTTCTCTCTCCTCGTAGTCCATGTATGCTCGGGCTTTGTCGAGGAGGGCATCAAAAGTTGGAGGTGGCTCAATACCCACAGCTTTTCTGAATTCTGTGCCGGGGAGGAGGCCCCTCTCCAGCAAATATCTTTTCATATGGTCCGCGCAGGGGACCTGTATTGCTTCCCGGTTGAAGCGGTTGATGAATTCCCTCAAGGTTTCATCCTGTCTTTGGATGATGGCCTCGAGGGCCGCCTCGGTCTTCGGATGGCGCCGAGAAGCTGTGAAGGAACTGATGAAATGGTTCTTTAGGTTCCGCCATGACGTAATTGAGCCCGGGGCGAGTCCTTTATACCAGTCCATGGCCGCCTTCCTGAGAGTCGTGGGGAAAAGACGGCACTTGATGGGCCCCCCGACATTATGATAGTGGAGCATGGCTTCGAACCCGTCAATATGGTCGACCGGGTCTGCTACTCCGTCATACTCCTTCAAGTGTGGGGGCTTCTCCATGCCCGGGGGGATGGGTGCGTCCATGATGGCCTGCGACAGGGGACCGCGGGGGTCATCCTCGTCGCTCCTCTCCGGAGAAAGAGAAGGGGTCCTGTAGTTATGTCTGGCACGATGATCGTGCTGAGATTCCCTCGAGCGTGATGCTCGGTGGTTGAAGGTCACACGCCCGTCTCCGGCGTGCCTCTTGTCGTGCCTTGATGGGTCGCGACTGGGTTCTTCGGTAGGGATGACGGGCTGTCTCTCATAGTAGGGCCGCCTCTGCTTTGGCCGGGGAGAGGGGCTCATGGATTTCTCCCTATAGTGTCTCCGCGGGGGAGAATGGTGTCGAGCTTCCGTGACCCGAGGAGGAGGAGAATGTGGCCTCCGATGCCTCCTCGGGGGTCGTCGATCATCTTCAAGTGCCCTTAATCTTTCTCCTTGGGCGAAGATGAGGTAATTTGTCTGATTAATGGCCGCGAACAGTGCCTGAGTCGTGGCATCTGCCCCGACAGGAACTGGGACTTCATAGAACCGGGAAGCTCTGCGATGAGCGAGAGCTACCGGGTCGTCTTCGAGTGCTGGAGGGGTCGTAGAGGATGATGCAGTAGCCCCGTCCCTGTAGGAGGAAGGTCCAGGGGCGGTTGTCACAGGGATGGCACTGTGGTCGGGATCACCGGGATTGTCGAGGTGTCCATTCTTGTCCGCGGGACCGTTATTAGTGTCGACGACACGGACGGGCTGCTCGTCACGAGCTGGATCAGCCATGACAGGTAGTTGGATTGAGCTTTGATCCTTAGAATTGTTCGTTAGACGGGGAAGCTGGTTCCCACAGACGGTGCCACTGATCTGACCTGATCAGAAATGGACCGTCACGGCTGGCTCCGAGCAGAAAGCTTTTTTGAACGAGGTGGGGGGGTACCTGCAAGGCACTCCGATGCTGAAGTAAGTAGGAGTACGAGCAGATAATAGTAAGTTGAGGTTAGAATGATGAATACCTGACCCTCTGAAAGCAGAGGGTATTTATAGCCCCCAGCGCTGGGCCAAGGTTCCTTCATTGGGCCGGGCAGGTTTGGCCCAATGGAGGAACTGCCAGGTTCTACGTGGGTAGTGGGGACCCGCACGTGGTCCCCTTCCTGGATGTTCTGCGTGAAGTGCGGGCGGACGGAGACGCGGTCTTTCTGGAGTCTCGTTGGGGGAATAGTGGACTGAGTCTGCCCTAGTTGGGATGCTCGAGGCAATGTCGAGCTTGGACAGCAGGGTGTCGAGCTGGACATCAGGACGTGGAGCTGGACGGCAAGATGTCGAGCTGGACATCAGGACGTGGAGCTGGAACGCAGTATGTCGAGCTGGACATCAAGACGTGGAGCTGGACCGCAGTATGTCGGGCACGGCTGTGACCCTTTGGTCGGCGTGGTCCTCAGTAAGTCCATTTGGACTGGGCCTTAGCAATGCTTTTGGGCCTGTCGGACCCAATCCAGAACATAATATATTTTAAATAATTTTTTTTTAAATTTTTGTATTAAATAAAGATTTGAGGTATGATTTACTACTCTAATCGCTACGACAAATTTGTGCTAAACATATAAATTTATAGAAATAAAAATATAAAAAAGTGGGATTTGGATTTTTCTAGTTTCTTTTAAAATGCTGTTATTTCTGCTTATAAAAACATGTACCGTAAAAATAAATAATATCAAATAATTAAATTAAATCTAAAAGTTAGAAATTACGCTAAAAATATGCTAAAGATATGACATTAAAAGAAATGCAGAAGGGAATCTGTTTTTCAAAAAAAAAAAAAAGAGTTCTTACCTCTTTTCATTATTAATAGTGAATGAATGAAATTGATATGAGTTAGTGGGTTAGTTTTCTTATATTTTTATAATTATTAACTATTTTTATTATTTAAAAAAATAAAAACAAATCTTAACATTCTATTTTTAAAAATAAATATTTTATTAGTTAAAATAATGGTTAGTTAATGGGATAATTAATAAAATTTTACTAATTAAAAATAGTTAATTTATTGAATAATTATAAAATAAATAATATTTTATTTATTAAAGAATTGTTAATTAGTGAAATAAATAATTATAATATTACCCTCAATTTTTTGACATCAGCATATATATATATATATATATATATATATATATATATATATATATATATATATATATATATATATATATATATATATATATATATATATATATATATATATATATATAAACACAATAAGGAATAGAGATTTAGATCCATTGAAAGCCAATATAACTGATTGAACAACAAAGAAACCTGATATACTAAACCAAACTAGTAACCTAGAAACATAGACAGACCATTTTGGGCATAAATTAAAACTCTTTTTTTCCTTATCATCATCGGTATATTACAGTTCAGGATCAATTCTGACATCAAATGCAGAAGTAGTACAAGATTCCAAACATCTTTCTCTAGCTTGAGCAGTGATATTACTTTACCTGAAAAAGAAAACCAGACCATATAGAAACTGAAACTCCAAACTATTGAGTAAGTACTTTCTTGGATCTAAAATAGAGACTACAGAAACAGATCATTAGCTTATAGCAGAAACATCAAAATAACCTCAAACAAATAACTCAGACGATAAACAACAAGTAATGAATTAGGAGAATACCTTGATCAATGGATTATGCAAGACGGGACAAAAAAGAGGAATCCTCATGTGTGTCTCGTTTTGCATAACCCATTGATCCAGATTCAATCACTCGTTTCACACCCTCACCTTCATCAATTACCTACTTACGCATCAAATTTGAAGCACTGTTCTTCAGATAGATCGAGATCGGGTGTTGTTGGTGATTGATGTTGCTTGGATTCATAGATCTGAAACGCTTTGGTTTGATATGTTTAGTTTAGGTTTTCAAGCGGCGTTAACTGAATGCGAACGTGGGTGCAATTTATAGCGATGATGTGTTTTCATCGCAATTTATAGCCGCTCGATTAATCCAACGGCTTACATTTCTGCTTACACATCACCACACTGCTATTTGTTGGTTTTTAATTTCATTGATTATGGATCCGTTTCAAATACTAGTATATTACTATATTCCCTTGTTCTAAATTTAGAAAACAAATCAATTTATATTTTAAGGTTTTTATGCTACAAATTTATATTTAAAGTTAATTACTGTTTTGATCTTATTTTACAGTATTCATATGGAAATAGTAATGTTTTATTTTAAATTAAACAATTTAGATGTTTTCTCTTTTTTTTCTTCTTAATATCAAGAATGAATTCATTTTTTTATAATTAAAATTCGTTTTTAATGTAAAAGAATATGAATGAGACCAAAACTATTTTAATTTAAAAACAAAAAACTAATTTTAGGACAAACATAATTAAGCTTTATATTTATCAATAATTTATAATATGGTTTTTTTAGATTTCACTAGTTTTTTTAGTTTATGTAAATTGGTGTGTTTTTTATTTTTGTTATAGTATTTTTTTTATTTTAGATAAAATCTTTAAATATTAATTTTATTTGGTTTTAGTCTTTAAAATTAAATTCAAGGAAAACTATAAATTTTAATTTTAGAAATTAAAACTAAAAAAAAATTATATTTAAAAATTATTTATAAGAAAAAATGTACAAAGATGAAAATAAAAAACACGTTAATTTACGGAACTAAAGTTATTTAAGCTGATTTTTATTATATTTTTTTTTGTCATTTGTATTAAATCGTAAGAGATTAAAAATAAATAGAAAATTATTAATATAAATGTAATTTGGTGGGAATACATATCGTTAATTGGTTGATAATATAGAATTATTTTAATTTTTGATGTAAATTTTTTCATCTCAAATTATAATAAAATAAATACAAATAATTTTTAGAAAAAAAATATTTTTTAAATAAAACGATTAAATGGAATTAAATTGATTTTTTGTTCATAATTTAAAATAAAATAAAAAATTTATTTTATTTATAAATTTGGAGAGAGTAAGTACTAGTTGAAAGTTTTGCATGCCTATACATATTAAAAATATAATACAATTATTAAAAAAATCATAATTTTTTTTTGAGTATTTCAATAATATACATAAACATAAAATAGATATAGAATATTTTTTTTCCTCTTATCATCATCGGGATTGTCCGATTCGGGGATCAATTCTGACATAAATAATTTCAGTTCTCTCACAATCATAATTGTGAAAAATTAAATCGTAGTTTTTCCTATTAAATCCAACGTCAATCACGATTGATAAGATATAAAATACTTTAAAACCACTGCTTATAGTGAAAACTAAAATTTTCATACTTATTGGTAAAAATTTCATATTTTTATCAAACTAATTTTGTTAACTATTTTTGAATTTTCTAATAACATAAATGTAAAAATAAAATATAATACTTTAAAAGTTGTGTATATAATATAATATAAATTTAAAATAAAATTTAAAATAAAATTATTATTTTTTAAAAATAATTAGAATGATATTTAGCTAGCGTGTGATTGTATGTATGCTGATTACTACAACGAACGTGAGGCCGTTGTTATAAATTAAATAACGCGTAACTTATAACTATGGTTTATGAAAACGGTCCTGAGTTTGAATCCAAGCAACACCATTCTTAGGTGTTATTATTCAGGATAGCGTTATCTTTATAACAACGTTTGATTTAATAACCGCTGTGATATAATTGTGTTTTTTTTAATATTTTTTAATTTTACAAAATTCTCAATTTTACAACCTGAATATTTCTGGTTCGTATGATACCAGAAACAACAAAACACCAATTTGTGAAATGAATTAGACCAAAAATTGTATTACATCATCAATGTCACATTTCCATTAGAAACCAAACCTTGTATAGTACGTAAAAATAAAAGTTGAGACAAAATAACCTACAATGTACGCATCATTACATTAAATTATACTATCTTATTATCTTATGGTCTTGTCTCTTAGTGTCTTCACTTTAAACACTTATAGTTTTCAAATATTAATAGTTGTTAGAAATTAAATAATATCATTGGAAATTATAACAAACAATAAATTATGAATGATGAATATAAAATACTCACTTATTAATTTCCCAATATTCCTTTTTGATGATCGTTGCGAATAACATGTACATCATCTTTATCAACTTCTTCATATGAATTAGGATCCTGTGTTGCGTAAGAAGGAGTGACAGTAATATAAAATCTTTCATCATCGCTACGAAGAATGTGTTTTCCTTTGAGAATAATTGACCATCTCCCCGATAAATCTGCATGGTCTTTCACATAAAAAAAACTTGTTTTGCTTGAGTCGCTTGTGAACGGCACACTAATGCTACACACACAAAACCTAAAGCATATTCACTAATCTGAACAATACACACTGAATATTAAACATTAAAATTTTGAAGAACATAAACAAAAACCATTGACTCATGAAAGAAATCAGTAACCATTGAAACACAAAATTGAGACGACCCTAAACATTCAGAAGCATCAGAGAGAGAGAGAGAGAGAGAGAGAGAGAGAGAGAGAGAGAGAGAGAGAGAGAATGTTAACGTATCAGATATTCGAAGAGGATGGTGAAGATTTTGCTTCCATAAATGATTTTTTGAAGAGGATTATGAAGATTTTGCTTCCAGAAATGATTTTTCGAAGAGGATGGTGAGAATTTTGTTATGGTTGTCGTTTCGTTCGCTAGGGTATCTTGTGTTATGAAAGAAATAAAGTACTTGTAATGTTTTAATTTAGTGGGAAACAATTTAACAACGGATGCAAGAATAAACCGTAGTGAAATATGGAACTTATAACCACAGTTCATAGAAAGAACCGTAGTTGTTATACTTTTAATTGTTAAATAAAAATAAATGTTATAGAACGCGCGCTTAGTTTTGCTGAAAATGGAAAATATTGTGGCTCATATTTGAAGCTTGTCACCTGAACTATATGACAACGGTTCTTTAAAGGAACCGTGATGAAAAGTTTCTTAATAAAATTTAAAAAAGATACGCGTAAAAAATGAGATATGACTACAGTGGATAAATGGTCGTGGTAATATTGTGTTACCAGAGGTGTTTTCCGTAGTAGTGCTTTAACACCTATTGTAGTAGAGTGGCGCTTGTAGTATAATGGGAGATAGGATGAGGCATGTGGAAAGAAAGTTGGTACAAAGGTACATATCATACTTGATAAGAAGGAATCATCACTGGTCCATGAGCTTGAGTTGAACAACAGTTGTTGAGTGAAGTGGAGGGGGATGTACCTGCAAGATACTCCAATGCCAAAGTAAGAACGAGAGCAATCAAAGCGCAAGCACTATAATAAGAGTGGGTGAATGAATACTTGACCCTTTCACGGGAGAGGGTATTTATAGGCCCCATCGCTGGGCTAAGGTCTTTAGTGTTGGGCTATCATAAGACCCAATAATGAATACCGCCAGGGTTACAGGTGTATGAAATCTAACATGTGACCTTCTCCTTGGTCAACTACCTCGAGAATATAGGGAAGTTGGACTTGTTATTCTTGGAGGGAAAGTTGATGGCAGTTGTGAATACCTGCAAGTCACGTTCCCTTAGTGGACACGTGGGGAAGTGTCCAATGGTCATTGGCTTAGGCTGCATGCTTTTGGGCCTTTATAGAGACGTTGGACTGAGCCTCATCAACTGTGGGGTAGTTGTCGGCCCAGTCCAAAACACGAACCCCCAAATTATTTCCCTTGGGTTAAGATCGATTTAAATGTCGGGGAAGTGTTACCTGAGAGGAGAAACTGTCAACTCCCATCGGGGAAGACTCCATGATTTAGGTCGAGGATGACTTCGAGATTGTGTGTGGCATGGTCGACTTGTTCTGAGAGAATTTCCTTGGTTAACTCGTCATCTATTCGTCTTAATGTGTTGCTTGTTTGTGATCTACATTCACGGGGAAGCAAGGAGTTTCCTCGTGCTCGTGCCCTCAATGTGTTCAGCAACAAGGACGAAATGGTGTAAGTGCGTGGCTTCGCACGTGAAACTCTTGTCAGCGGTGTGTCATTTCGCACGTCCCACATAGTAGCTGTTTGGAATGCCATCATTGCCTAGGGCAGTCTAAGAGTCTAAGTAATGATGACCCTTTGCACGTTACCCTGTGTAGTGGGGACTAGCTATAAAAAGGGGAGCCATTATTTTCACTTGTCATTTTCAAGTTCTCTCTCCTCCTATTTCTCCTTCGTTTATAAGTTGCTCTGCTGCTCCACCACCGCTGTAGACGTCTTCACTGTTCATCTTCTCCAAGTAAGCAATTTCTTCTTTAAACGTGATTTTTCTTAGGTTTTTAGATTGAACGTATGAATATTCCTATGAATGGATGAATTTCCAGATGAAGTTCATGAATTTCAGATGAACATTCATGGATTCTAGGATGAAGGTCTATGAACTTCATATGGGTTCATGAAATACGTATGAAGATTCATGGATTTCTAGTGAGCTCCATTTGGACTTGCATCGGGGTCGTCCTCCCCGTGAGTGGGAATGACTCAGGAAAGTAGCTTCGTCGGTGAAATGTCCCCACGCATTCTTATGCTCGCGAGAGGGTATCGTTCTCCTCTGCTTTCGCTGTCGAGGGCTTGGGTCGAGGACCATTCCTTGATGCGCTCATCGCCCTTTCACTTGATTTACGGTGGAAGGGTGAATTTGATGATGTCAAATTCACTGTTTTCCCCTGCTTTTTAGGTACGATGGCTTAGCCAATTGAGGAAAATATTTTTCCCGACCCCAACAGGGGGGACTGTTGTTATGGGCGACATCCTAGGTTGGGTCGCGCCCGAACCCAGAAATAAGAGGTCCCATTTTGTGAAGGATTCTTCCGACGCGTTTAACATTACCGAGGAAAAAA